GCTTCCAAGCTCTTTTTATGAAGCTAGCATTATCCTAATTCCAAAACCAGATAAAGACATTACAAAGAAAGAGAACAATAGGCCAATATTCCTGATGAATGTAAGTGCTAAAATCCTCAAGAAAATATTAGCAAATCAGATCCAGCAATATATTTAAAAGATCAAACGCCATGACCAAGTGGATTTATTCCAGGGGTGCAAGGTTGGTACAATATTCACAAACCAATAAACATGATATATCACATAAACTGTGATTATAAGTAGTAAATTATGTATAAGACAAAAAACACATAATTATCAATAGATGCAGAGAAAGTATTGGACAAAATCCAATATCCATTTTTGATGAAAAGTCTCAGCGAAGGGGAATAAAGGGATCATATCTCAACATAATAAAGGCCATATATGATAAACTTACAGCCAACATCATACTCAATGGGCAAAAACTAAACCTATTTCCCCTAAGAACAGGTACAAGACAGGGATGTCTGCTTTCACCACTATTATTCAACACTAGAGGCCCAGTGCATGAAATTTGTGCACGGGGGTGGGTCTCTCAGCCTGACCTGCACCCTTTCCAATCTGGGAGCCCGCTCCAATCCTGGAGCCCTGATGGCTTAGGCTCACTCCCCGTGGTTCTCTGCTCTCTGCAGGGCCTGGCCACTCCACACTTACTGCCCAGAGGCTCTCCACGACCCAGAGGCCCCCCCACAGCCAGGGCGGGATGCACCCGCTGCCCAGAGGCCCTCCGCGGCCCAGGTGGGACGCTTGCCTCATCACTGCGGCAACAAAACAAGCATTCCACCAGGCCACTCACACTGCTCGCTCTCAGCAGCCGCCCCCCCAGGACTGGGGGACTCCCGCAAGGCTGAGGGGACTGGGTGCCGCCATCTTATGGCTATGGGCACTGCCATTTTGTGATGGAGTGATGGTTAATTTGCGTATTACCCTTTTATTAGATAGTACTGCAAGTCCTAGCAACAGCGATGAGACAAGCAGCAGCAATAAAAGGCATCCATATTAAAAAGGAGGAAGTAAAATTCTCAATATTCACAGATGACATGATATTGTACATAGAAAACCCCAAAGACTCCACCAAAAAACTACTAAAGTTAATAAAGGAATTTGGCAATGTAGCAGGATACAAAATTAACACCCAGAAATCAATGGCATTTTCATACACCAATAATTAATTCTCAGAAAGAGAAACTAAATAAACAATCTCATTTGCCACTATAACAAAAAAATTAAGACACTTAGGCATAAACTTAACCAAGGAAGTAAAAGACTTGTACTTGGAAAACTACAAGATGTTTAAAAAATAGATAGAAGATATAAACAAGTGGAAGAATATACCATGTTCATGGATTGGGAGAATTAACCTCATTAAAATGTCCATAATCTTAGGTTTTACGCCGCCGCAAGGAAAAACCGTGAGTCCAAACAGAGACCAGATCAAACAGGCTTTATTGGGAGCACACCGGTGGGTTCACCGGCTCAGAGAGGGGAGCCGGAGAAGCCACACCAAACCTGGGCAGGGGCAAGGTTTTATATTTTTCTGAGGCAACTGTTGCTGGCCGAAACTGGTGTCTATTAAAATACCAATAGCATATTTCACAGATCTACAACAAATATTCCAAAAATTTATATGGAACCAAAAAGACCCTGAATAGCCCGCAAGGCTGAGGGGACTGGGTGCCGCCATCTTGAAAAAAAGGAACAAAGTTGGAGGAATCACAATACCAGACATCAAGTTATACTACAAAGCCACTATAACCTAAACAGCCTGGTACTGGCACAAGGACAGACATATAGATCAATGGAACAGAACAGAGACCCCAGAAATCAACCTAAGCCATTATGCTCAATTAATATTTGACAAAGGAGGTAAGAGCATACAATGGAGTCAAGACAATCTCTTCAATAAACGGTGCTGGGAAAATTGGACAGATACATGCAAAAAAAAAAATGAAACTAGGCCACCAACTCACACCATATACAAGAATAAACTCAAAATGGATAAAAGACTTAAATGTAAGTCATGAAACCATAAAAATCCTGGAAGAAACCATAGGCAGCAAAATCTCAGATATCTCTTATAGCAATATGTTTGCAATACATCTCCTAGGTCAAAGGAAACAAAGAAGAAAATAAACAAATGGGACTACATCAAAATATAAAGCTTCTGTTCAGCAAAAGAAAACATCAACAAAATGAAAAGGGAGCCCCCTATGGGAGAACATATTTGGAAGTGATACATCTGATAAAGGCGTAATATCCAAAATATATAAGGAATTCACTCATACAACTTAACAAAAGGAAGACAAACAATCCAATTTTTTTAAAAAGGGCAAAGGACCTAAATAGACACTTCTCCAAAGCAGACATATAGTAGATGACCAAGAGACATATGAAAAAATGCTCAAAATCACTGATCGGCAGAGAGATGCAAGTTAAATGACAATGAGGTAGCACCTCACACCTGTCAGAATGGCTGCCATCAACAAATGACAAGTGCTGGCAAGGACGTGGAAGAAAGGAAACCCTTGTACACTGCTGGCGGGAATGAAGACTGATACAGCCATTATGGAAAACAATCTGTAGTTTCCTCAAAAAATTAAATGTGGAACTGCCATTTTACCCAGTGATCCCACTTCTAGGAATATATCCTAAGAGACCCAAAACACCAATCAGAAAGTATGTATGCACCCCTATGTTCATAGCAGTGCAATTTACAATATCATAGGTGGAATCTAATGAACAAAATAAACTGATCCAGAGACCTAGAAGCATGGAACAGACTGTGGAATCTCAGAGGGAAGGCAGAGGTGGGTGGGTGGGAAGAGATCAACCAAAGAACTTGCATGCATATATGCATAAACGATGGACAGAGACAATAGGGTGGTGAAGGCCTGGGGTGGGGGTTGGGGGCAGGCTAGAAGCAGTTAAGGGGGGTCAAAGGGGACATATGTAATACTTTCAATAATAAAGTTGTAAATTTTAAAAAAAGAACAATAGGATGCTTACAATTAGTTGTAATGAGTGGTTGAATTTAAGAGAATTAGCAAGATCAGAAGCTACTCAATACTTTCAAGAGAAAAAACTGGAGACAAACTAAACATACATCAGAGGGGGATGGCTAAGTAATTACAGTGTACATATACACTTTTGCATACTACATAGCAGTTTCGGAATGATATAAATTTTTGTATACCTATGTAAGAACTTCTACGAAATAGAGTAAAAAAATCAAGTTACACAACATATGCATAACGTAACTCTTTATTTTTTAATACTTAGATGTATATGACATCTATACATATCCTATATCAGGGGTCCTCAAACTACGGCCCGCAGGCCACATGCGGTCCGCCGAAAACATTTGTTTTACTTCAAAATAAGATATGTGCAGTGTGCATAGGAATTTGTTCATAGTTTTTTTTTAAACTATAGTCTGGCCCTCCAACTGTCTGAGGGACAGTGAACTGGCCCCCTGTTTAAAAAGTTTGAGGACCCCTGTCCTATATAATAAAAGCCTAGGTGGCGTCACGCCCTCGTGCAACATCGCCACAAGATGGCCACCCTCACGTCGTCACAAGAGGCCACCACAAGATGGCTGGCAGGGGAGGGCAGTTGGGTGCAACCAGGCCTGCAGGGGAGGGCAGTTGGGGGTGATCGGGCCAGCAGGGGAGCAGTCAGGCATCAATCGGGCCGGCAGGAGAGCAGTTAGGGGGCGATCAGGCTGGCAGGCAGAAGCGATTAGGAGCCAGCAGGACCTAAACCGGCAGTCGGACATCCCCCAAGGGGTCCCAGATGGAGAGGGTGCAGGCCGTGCTGAGGGACACCCCCCACCCCCGTGCATGAATTTCATGCACTGGGCCTCTAGTACATACATAAATGTTTAAATGTTATTATTTATGTAATAAAGGGTGTCAAAACACACTGTCTTAAAATGAGAGAGGAAAAGATGGTTTGTTCACTTCATTTTATACACTTCTGTGTTTATCACATCAAGTAGGTGTCATTGTCACTCCACTATGGTTTTAAATGAGGTGAAGGTTTATGGAGTTAAACAAATAAAACCAAAGATATTTATTTAAAGGTAATTACAGTTTGGACTTGCGTGACCACCTCTATAACCTGCTGTCATCGGTGTCTAGTTTGGCAGAGAAGCCACAGGAATAGCCAGGCCAGGATTTTTACACTACTCTGGGGAGCAAACCTATCTGAAAAAAAATGAAAGCTACTACTCCTTCCCTTGAAAAAAAAGTGCACATTCCCACATTGACACTAGCTTGTTTATACAGTTTCAGGGGACTCACAGCCTCTCTGAAGCCCGACATAGACACAGGCTGAAAACTCTGGCCCTAGGTTCCAAACCTACCAAGGAAAACAAACACATTTCTCCAATGACTCTGAAACTGATAAAGGAGAATATTTGAAAATACAGCCTTTAATATCACTAAAATCATATGGAAACCCCTGTATTTACAAGGTGTTTGTTTTTTCTCTCAGTAGACCTGAGGGAGCCAATTAGAGCTGCTTATATTGTATGTTTCTGTTTAAGGATGAAGGAGGAGGGGTATATGAATCCTAAAGACTGTGAAGAAAGGGGTTGTTTAGATATAAGATCTGAAATAATTCCCAAATAAGTTGCATGTGTGTGATTTAAATTTAAAATGCACTTTCTCTCTTTAACAAACGTAGATATGATCTAGTGTAAAAGCTTATTTTGTAGTATCAACTTAGATGTCAGGCAGTGAGCAGGGAATGATCTAAATTACCATGTTTAAATTCTGTATAATGCTTTTGACTCTCTTTGAGCCACAAGTGACTCAAATACTTTCCACTATCTTTAAAAGGTCAAAAAGCCCCTTTCTGCTGCCACCAGAGAGGCTGAGCAATGAGTACTTCTGGCAGACGTAGGGCAGAGGCAGGTAGGAAAACAACATAAGAAAAAATAGGAGTAGGCGAGGTGAAAGAGAAGCACTAGCTGCTGTGGTATGGAACAAGTCCTTGGAACAATTGCCTTAAATGACTGTATTTCAGACTTTTTGGACTGAGATCCACAGTTAAGAAATATATTTTTACAAAGTGACTCAGTACACATGCATATAACAGAAGTTCCATGAAACTATGCTCATTTAATCCTATTACTTGCAATGCACTAATATTTCCAATTTCGCTTTTTTAAACTGACTTTAGAAAGGAAGGGGGAGAGAGAGAGGGAGAGAGAAACACTGCTGTGAGAGAGAAACACCACATTAATCTGTTGCTTCCTGAATGTGCCCTGACTGGGAATCAAACTTGCCACCTTTTGGTGTATGGTATGATGCTGCAACCAACTGAACCACCCGTTCAGGGCTCCATTTCATTTTTTGATTGAAATAATGATGGGTCATAACCTGACATTTGAAAACATTGCTTCAGATATGTCAATTTGTCAAGTAACGTTCTTAAATTTTCTTTGGTCAGAACAGGTTTCCATACCTTGGGAAGACTCGAGAACGTAGTTCCTTCACAAAAGTCCTAGTTCCAGCTTGCACTGGTTTGGAACCATCATCAATTTCGGTGTAGTCATGCCTGTGCCAGTTCCTTCTCTTTTTCACTGGATTTTTAGATTAAAAAAAAGAAACATTTGGTATGTAGTGATGCTATGTACTTTCTAATCATTAGATAATCAAACATAACAATTTTTTAATACAATAAAAACACTAATTTTTATGCATTTCTAGGCTGAAGAAGTAAATTTTACTTTATATAATACAGCAACTATAGGCAACTAACTCTTTTTTTATCTACTCTTTTTATTTCATAATAATTTAAAATTAAATCAAGGAATTCAAACTAGCAGATGGAGACTTTTATAAGATCTGCATTTACAAATACTATAATATCTCACAATTATTTAAAAACATGGTTTTTCTCTAGGACACTAGGTCATAATATGATTTTTACAGATCATCCATCCAAATCATTCTCCAGAATAGGGCCTTTGATCCCACATCGGAAATCTATTTTTAACAGTACAGCTCCCTTCTCTTTTATGTCAAGATTTATTCCCCTAATAAGCATGGTTATACCAACACAAAAAAGAGCAGGTGACTGCATCACAATTAAAGAAAGACAAGTGGAATCACAGAATAAATGACTTTATGGTTACTTCTAATGTCTAGCTCCAGCAGGCTGTAATCTTGAATACTCACAGCAGTCAAAATCAGGAGACTATAATTTGACTCCTAGTTCGGCCATAACTACTCTGCCACCTTGGGCAAGTAATTTAACACATCTGTCTCCAGTTTCCTCAGCATGGAAAGGGAGGGGATGAGTGATGTGTCTCCAACTGTGTTGAGGAACCATTAATAAAGGGGAAGAAGGGGAAGAGGCCAAGGGAGGAGCTCTGGACCTGATTCCTCTTTCCACCAGGATGGCACCACCTACTTATCTTTTGTGTGGTATTAATACAAGATTTCAGTTATATATATATATATATATATATTTAAAGTTTAAAAAGCACTCTTAAGCTTTGTAGTGATGTCTGCAACTTATTTAGGATGCATAAAAATAGATGAATAGTGAGATAGTTACATGGACAGATATGTGGTAAAGCAAATAACATAAAATGTTAATAGTAGAATCTATATAATGGATTTAGAGGTACTCACTGTAAAATTCTTTCACATCTGTATGTGAAAGAACACATCCTGTATGTTTGAACACTCTCAGAACAAAATGTTGAGTGGGGGACAAACTCTATGAATTTAAATTACTTCACACCTTCACTGTACAACAATCATAATAATATAATAATACTGATTCCTCATATGGATAAGAAGAAGTCACACTAAACAATCAATAGGGTTGGACTTATTCATATCTAAGAGTCTAAAACAAGATTCCCAAGAAATTTATGGCCGTCAGACCTTCAATATAGAAGACAGTAAATTCCTTTTTTTAATCTCATGAGAAAAATTGAGAATCACAGAACAACCTTCCTAGAAAATCTGATTAAGGTATCCTTTGTGTCTTGTTTTTTCTCATTTAAAATCATTTCTAAAATTCAAATGTATTTAATTCTGGGCTTTTTCCCTTACATGTATGTATAGATAAACACCCCCATTTTATTTTCAACTAGGATCATAATTCTGCTTACCTTTCTTATTATACCATGACCATTTTCTCCTTAATAAATACTCAAAAGCAATTTAAAGTGGCTTAGATTTTAAGATATAGATGTAGATGCATCATATTATAATCATTTTTTAATTCTTATGCACTTTGTCCATCCTGAATCTTTCTTCAAACAAAGTTGGGATTGATATTCATATACATAAATATGTTTCCCTCATTAATTCCTTGGGAGAAATTCCTAAAAATGCGAGAAGAAATACTCAAAATTTTAAAGATACTAGCTACAAATTGCAAAACTAACTGCCTTCAGAAAAGTGGCAGGTGACTCACCCTCTTACCAATGTATATACACAGCCTGTTTCAAAACCCTGGGTCAATCGTTATTGGAAAGAAAAGGAAAGGCTGCTCATTTGATAAGTAACTATGATATTACATTGTCTTAATGTTCATTTTTGCAGAACAGATTAGAATTAGAACAGATTGGGATTGGACAGCTATGGGTTTGAACTCTAGCTCTGCCAAACAGCTACATTAAAGAGCTATTAGATCACTTTTCTCACATCACGCTGTTATAAATATCAAAGGAGATAACATAGATCAAGTACTTACTTAGCATAGTGCCTGACACCCAATAAGGTGTCGATTACTAAGGTTTCCTTTTAAATGTTCAGACTTGGAGGATGTTAACAAAAGGATATGACTATCCTGTTGGGTCAACACATTTGACACACAAAATCAGCCACTGTAAGAGCAAACTGAATCTCTTAAAGGAAGGAGGCCAATGAAGAAATATTTCAGTAGTGTTCATGGGGAAAAGAGAAAATTTTGAGTTTGGATTGCATGTGCCTGAAGAGCACTGAGAATATATGTTTAGGTGTTAGGCTTTTTTTTTTTTTTGATATCTGTCTTCCAATAGAGTTCTTATTTCCCATAAAAGGGTAAAGTCTAAATTCACCATGTTAAGTGGGTATCATACTATCTATCAGTGGTTCTCAACCTTCTGGCCCTTTAAATACAGTTCCTCATGTTGTGACCCAACCATAAAATTATTTTCATTGCTACTTCATAACCGTAATGTTGCTACTGTTATGAATCGTAATGTAAATATCTGATATGCAGGATGGTCTTAGGCGATCCCTGTGAAAGGGTCGTTCGACTGCCAAAGGGGTCGTGACCCACAGGTTGAGAACCACTGGTGTAGATGGTATCTATAATGATAAGGATTCCTGGGGAGCTCCAAAAGGAACAGGAAACCTGAATGGCAAGCAAAACAGGCTTCATAGTAGATGGAAAGCGACCAAGAGGATTATCCATGGTGGGTACAAAGGATAAAGAGTAGGGAAAACAAGCCTTAAATCAAAATGTAAGAGATTACTAGATCTTGGTCATTTTCCCTTGGGTACTCAGAGCTGGACTTCTGCCCAGAAGATAGCCAGTGCCTGATCTGTTATTCAAGGAAAGAAGCACTGAAGGGCCAGGTAATATAGTCTTCTCTCTGATGCATCGTTATTCAAAATGCAGGTCGTGATCCATTATGGATTGTGAAATAAATTTAGTGAGCATGACAAGCTTTTTAAAAAATTAAATCATGCCGAAACTGGTTTGGCTCAGTGGATAGAGCATCGGCCTGCGGACTGAAGGGTCCCAGGTTCGATTTCGGTTAAGGGCATGTACCTGGGTTGCGGGCACATCCCCAGTGGGGGGCGTGCAGGAGGCGGCTGGTCGATGTTTCTCTCTCATCGATGTTTCTAACTCCCTATCTCTCTCCCTTCCTCTCTGTAAAAAATCAATAAAATATATTTTTAAAAAAAATTAAATCATATAGGAAAAAAATAGGGTACATCACACATACATTACTCTGCCTCATAGTAACCCACTTAATATTTCATAAAAATTAAATTATTTCATTTTGGGATTATATGCTTAAATTTTAAACTAAAACTATTAGCAATTTTAGTTCTGTTTTTCTTTTTCAAATAACAAAACAGTATTATTTACTTCCTTCAAGAATCACTCAGTCAATAATTATATCAAATGATATAGTACATGTACTTCAATGCTACATAAAATAAAAACCTTTAAAAATATTTATGCAATTAGCCAATTACACAAGTAACAATTCTATCAACCTGCTAATCTCAAATTTTATGTGTAGTAACAGCGAAATAGATATTCTGTATTTTACAAGGAAATATTTTAATGCATTAATATAGCTTAAATTTCTAAATTTCTTACAAAGAAATTTGGTAAATTAATAACATTTCTAACAAAACATATGAGCAGTCAGTTGCTAGTAAGTCTCTTAAAAAATTACTAGCCCTAACCAGTTTGGCTCAGTGGATAGAGCGTCGGCCTGCGGATTGAAGGGTCCCAGGTTTGATTCCGGTCAAGAGCATGTGCCTTGGCTGCGGGCGCATCCCCAGTGGGAGGTGTGCAGGAGGCAGCTGATCGATGTTTCTCTCTCATTGATGTTTCTAGCTCTCTATCCCTCTCCCTTCCTCTCTGTAAAAAATCAATAAAATATATTTTTTAAAAAAATTACTTGCCCATGACCTCAGAACAAAATTTCTATTTTTTTTTTTAAGGAATAGAAAAAATTCTGCTGGTTCCCTCCAGAGGACGTGAGAGCTTCCCTGGCTGTGCTCTGCCAGCTCAGGAACAAGAGTATCAGCAGAGACTTGGTCTGGACCCTCTGTCATCTTCTGGATAGAACTGTTGGGGACTGGGTTCAAGTAGATAGGATGGCTGGGGCAGGACTCCAAGTCAAACTCAGTATGATGACCAAATTTGGGAAATAGAAGTATTATCAGGTACACATTAAGTACTCAACTCCAATTTTTTTTGAGCATCTAGTACTTACTCAAGGAGGATCCATGTAGAACTGCACAGTTGGGACAGTGATATAGGTCAATGTCAACAGCATGATGTTCTTCTACTCCAACACAACTAAGATAAAGAAAAATAAAGCCAATAGGTAAATCAGTTTAAAATCTTTACTTAACTATATTTAGATTGGTTGGAATTTACCTGAGAAATGTACACCAACTCACCAATAAATTTTGTAGAATACATGCAAGGATAAATTTTATTCTCTACCCTACACACTTGCTAAATAATTGTGGGGAAGAATATATCCAAATACATGGGAAGTGAATTACTATAGGCAGAGCAGAGACATTAAAAGTAATGCAATTATAAGCCATAAGACCCTCAACCATTATGTAAGTGCCAACTGTTATGGTATTTAATGTTTGTGCCCCCCACCCTCACCCCCAAGTATACTAGCTGAAACTGTAACCCTCCAGTGCAGCTGTATTTATTTGGAGATAAAGCCTCCAGGAAGTAAATGAGGGCACAGGGTGGGGCCTTGATCCCATAGGATCAGTGTTCTTATAAGAGACACCAATGAGCCCTGACCGGTTTGGCTCAGTGGATAGAGCATTGGCCTGCGGACTCAAGGGTCTCAAGTTAGATTCCGGTCAAGGGCATGTGCCTTGGTTGTGGGCACATCCCCAGTGGGGAGTGTGCAGGAGGCAGTTGATCGATGTTTCTCTCTCATCGATGTTTCTCACTCTCTATCCCTCTCCCTTCCTCTCTGTAAGAAATCAATAAAAAATATTTAAAAAAAAGAGACACCAAAGAGCTTGCATTCTCTCTGCATGCACATAAAGAAGAAAGGCCACATGAGTACATAAGCAAAAAGGTAGCTGTCTGCAAGCCAGGAAGAGAGCCCTTCTCAGAAACCAAACTGGCGGACCTTGATCTGGAACACCCAGCCTCCAGACTGTGAGAAAATAAATTTCTATTACTTACGTCTTCTAGTCTTATGGTATTTTGCTATGGCAACCTGAGACAACTAAGATACAAACTAACTTTAAAATATGGCTGTTATCAGCTAGAGGTGGTTAGTAAATTTGGGTGACATCACTGACATGGTAAGAGTACTGAGTCCTAACAGTTCTGCTGTAGGTCTCAGAGCCCTCATTAATCAGTTCAATTAGTTTGAGGCCCTGTACTTAGAATACTCTATCCCATGGTGTATATAACAGTGGCACTTAAATAAAGTTTAAGGGAACCAACAAGGGACTGAAAAAACTATATTAGTGACATCTTGAAAACAGGAGTAATTTATTAAAGACAGACCCCAGCAGTTTTGCTACAACCCAAGTAATTTATTAAGGTAAAATTTTATAACACTGGCACTCCCAAAAAGTTATAGGAGGAAGTATTTGTAGACAACCCAAAACAGAGTTCACTTCCAGCTAACCCACAGTAAAGGAAATACAAAAGGATGTACTTCTTGCGGAAGGATAATGACCACAAAGAGATCTGGGATGCAAGGGAAAAGGAAACTAATACATATGTGGGTAAATTTACATGAACACTAACTACATGAAACAAAATAATGTCATGTGAGACTTAAAAATATATAAAGGACTAAAACACATGACAACAGCAACATCTGAGTCAGGAGAGGACAAATGGAGTCACAGGGTCCTAAGGTATTTGTACTGGCAGGAGAGGAAAAAATAATGATTAACAGACATCAATAATAAGTTGAAGATGTCTATTATAATTCCTTGGGAGATGACTAAAGCAACAGAAATGCAGAGTATAACTTCTAAACTAGTCACAGAAAAAAAGGAATAAAAAATTAATTCAAAAAAAGGAGAAAATCAGAAAAACCAAAACAAAGTGGAGGTAGACATTTTAAAATATATTTAATTACATTATATGCAAATGGACTAAATGCTTCAGTTAAGACATTATCCAGCCCTGGCCAGTGGTGCTAAGTGGTTAGAGCACCAAAGGGTCATGGATTCAATTCCTGGTCAAGGGCATGTACCTGGGTTATAGATTTGATCGGGGGCTCATGCAGGAAGCAACCAATCAGTCAATGTGTCTCTCTCACATCTCTCTCTCTCTGTCTCTCTCTCCTCCCCCTTCCTCCATACCTCCCTCTTTTTCTAAAAATCAATGGAAAAAATATCTTGGGGTGGGGATTAACAACAATAAAAGACATTATCCAGATGACTTAATATAATTCACCATTTATAAGAAAGAAGCATAAAACAAGGATACAGAAAGATTAAAAGTAAAAGGATGGGCAAATAAATACCATGAAAAGTGTAATCAAAAGACAGTATAGCTATATTAATATTAAGCTACATAAAATCTAAGGGGAAAAATATGAGATAAACATGTTCACTGATCATAACCATTTCAATTCACCAGGATGATATACTAGGAACTGTAGTGGGAGATTTTGACAACTCTCTCGGTATTCAATAGAACAAACAGGCAAAACAAAAAACTATGAAATATACAAGTTTGAATTATCAGTATTAAAAAGCATGACCTATCTTGGGGAAAACTGGACAGATACATGCTAAAAGAAATGAAACTAGACCACCAACTTACACTATACACAAGAATAAACTCAAAATGAATGACAGACTTAAATGTAAGTCATGCCCGACTAGCGTGGCTCAGAGGTTGAGCGTTGACTTATGAACCAGCAAGTCACAATTAGATTCCCAGTCGGGGCACATGCCCAGGTCGCAGGCTCGATCCCCAGTGGGGTGCATGTAGGAGGCAACCGATCAATGATTCTCTCATCATTGATGTTTCTGTCTCTCTCTCCCTCTCCCTCTCCCTTCCTCTCTAAAATCAATGAGAATATATTTTTCTAAAATGATCTAATGGACATTTATAGACTATTACACCCACCATGCATTTGGACCTTCCCACTCCACACCATATACCAAAAAGAACTAAAATAGATCACATCCTATATAATAAAACCCTAATATGCAAATTGACCAAACTGTGGAACGACCGGTCACTATGAAGTGCACTGATCACCAGGGGGGCAGATGCTCAACGCAGGAGCTGTCCCCTGGTGATCAGTGTGTTCTCATAGGAGGAGCGCCACTCATCCAGAAGCTGGGCTCACAACTGGCGAGCAGCGGGAGCCTCTTCTGCCTCTGCAGCAGCGCTAAGGACCTCTTAAGGGATGTGCTAGGCCAGCAGGCAGACATCCCCCGAGGGGTCCCAGACTGCAAGAGGATGCAGGGACCCCCGCCCCATACCCGAATGTTGTGCACCAGGCCTCTAGTATCCTATACAATAAAAGGCTAATATGCAAATAGACTGAATGACGGAACAACTGAACAACTGGTAACTATGACATGCGCTGACCATCAGGGGGCGCATGTGGGACATGGCGGGCATCAGCAGCAGGTGGCAGAGCACGGAACATGGCAGGCGTTGGCCGTGGCAGAATGGTGGAGCAGATGAGCAGGGGTACCAGACCAAGGTGGGGCACCGATTGCTTCTGGTGTAGGATAAAAAAAAAATATTTCTCATTCAGGAACATGAAGGTTTACTTCTATGATTTACCTGCTCGCACCAGCTGCTGGTGCTCAGTGCCAGTCCTGATCGCTCGGTGCCGTCAGCAGGTACAAGCGGCTGCTGCTGGCCCTAATCGCCTCTGAGGGCTTCTCCACCTCCCCTTGCTCCTGAGGGGCAATCGGGGCAGCAGCCACCACTTGCACCCTCTGATGGCACCGGCCCCACTCACGCCTGCTGCTGGCACCAGTTCCAATTGCTCCACGCCATCAGCGGGTGCTAGTAAGGCTGGCGCCATCAGCGTGGGAGTGGCTGCGGCAGGAGCGGGGCTGCTGGCAGACAGGGGACGGGGGACCGCAGTGGGAGGGGCCAGGCAGGGGCACAGAGGATGGGTCAAGACTTGCCCCTGTGCCCACCGCAGCCTCGCGGTCCACAGTTCCTTTCAAGGTGCATGAATTCGCGCACTGGGCCCCAAGTCTAAATATCTATATATATATAAAAGCCAAGTGACTGGAACATTAGAAAAACCAGAATGATTAGAACGACCAGTCGCCAATCAGCCCAATTGGGCCCTGACTGGCCCCCCCCCCAACCTCCCATGACCCCTGCCTCTGGCTGGCTCCACCCCCAATTGCCCCCCGCCCCAATCAGGGGCAGGGCCAGCCAACCTCCTGTGGCCCTTCCCCCCACCACCCGGCCTGATGGGTCCCCATCAGGGTGGGCTGACCAGACCACACCCATGCACAAATTCGTGCACAGGGCCTCTAGTCTAAATATAAGAGCTAAAACTATAAATCTCCTCAAGTAAAGCATAGGATTAAATCTACACATTCCTTAATGAGAATTCTTTTGTTTTTTAATCCTACACCAAAAGCAGAAGGGACAAAAGGGAAAAAAAGATAGGTAAATTGGGTGTCACACTACAGTTCAAAGGCTTGTTTTCTCAGCTTACTTGGTGTAAGATAATCAGCTGAGTTTGGAAAGTGGCAGAAAGGTATGAGGAAAGAATGGCATAAAATAGTTGATCTGAGGAAAGGAAACACAGTAGCAGAGTACATAGGGTGTGTGTGTGGGGGGTGGGGGGGGTGAAGAGCTTAGAAACTGGAGGGTCCCTGAGGTCAGTGAGAAGGAATTTCATAGTGAAACTATCTTTGCACAGTTGAGTATTTGTTTTCCAGTGATGTTCAACCATGGGGTGCAGGCCCAGAGGAGGCTGGGCCCAGCCACAGTGGGGTTTTGTAGGCAAAGACTAGAAAGAAAGTTGAGGATATTAACACGGGAGTTAATCTATAATAATAAAATTGTAATATGCTAATTAGACCAGACGTCCTTCCGGAGGACCTTCTGGACAAAGCCAGGGCTGCAAGGGGAGCCTGGGTCACAGGTGCCTGCCAGCGCCCAGAGGGAAGCCTGGGTCCCGGGTGCCAGAACAAAGCCGGTGCCAGCAGCAGGGAGTAGGAAGGCCTACTCTTGCATGAATTTCATGCATTGGGCCTCTAGTATAATGATAAGCCATGATATCTAAGCTGGGGCATGAAGGGGCGTGAAGACAGAAGGAAGTAGTAAGAGGATGGTGAGATAGTCTGAGGGTGTCAATGTGTCCCTAGCAGTGACTCAGTGGAAGGCCTTGAGC